GTGATTTGAATGTGATGGTAGATATTTTCAATATTTTATACCAAAACAAATTCCTGTAGAAAAAAGATATTTAATAAAAAATCTATGTAATATTTGCATTTCTTATACGATACCCCTACCTCATAAGATGGGTCGTGCCCATAAAAGGTTAGGAAACACTCTTACATTGTGAGAGATTTTTCACTCACGAACCAGGGTGCACCTACATCATTCTATAATATAATTGGTGTAAATTGTTAATACAACGAATAAACTCTCATAAGTCTCATAAAGTAGAGCGCTTTAGAATTAAAAGAAACATAAATTCATCGATGATTTAACTTGAACAATAGTTCGAGAAAAAGTCATTTACATAATTAAAATATAACTGATGTGTAATAATTAATCGCATCTCCTTTAAATTTATTAGGCAAGGCCTTAAATATATGTTTTAACCTAAATTATTCAGATAACGTAGAGCTGTACAGTAAAAGTGAAAGACATTTATTTACAATATCTTTTGAAAATTCCTAGTCAACGTAGCGACCAGAATTTTTCTCATCTTGCTAATACTTGATTTAACTGATATGTAATAATAATCGCATCCCTTGTAAATTTATTAGGCATGTGTGGTCGAAGATCGGCCTTAAATATGTTTTGAGCTAAATTATTCAGGGTGTTAAATGAAGATTTGGGTATTCGGTCAGTAGGCCAATACGGTATCGATGAAGAACGGATGCAATCCGGAAGAGAACCCTTCTACGGATGAATTCATAACTTTTTCCAGGTGCCCAAAGTTAAGTATACTAACTATATTTATATATTATATATATATATATATTAGGGTGATCCTTAATATGGACATTTTCGAATTTCTTGCTCCCAGAGGCTCAAATGGTTCCAAATTGATAAAAAACAATTCTCTGAAAGTTTTAGCTCTTAATATTAACTTTAGATAGTGCGCAATTCAATCAAACTGCTTATGGAAATAGCATGGAAAATTTTTTAAAATTAAAAAAAAGTTTTAGGTATAACTTAGCGACAAATGATGAGTTTTATTCATTCATTTGTTCGCTAATTACATCTAAAAACATTATTAAAATTTTTGAAATTTTTCTTATGCTATTTCCATACAAAGGTTTTGCTGTATTTCCGCACTATCTAAAGAGACAATATTAAAAGCTAAAACTTTAAAGAATTGTTTTTTTATCAATTTGGACCATTTGAGACTTGGGAGCAAGGAAATTCAAAAATGTCTATATTAAGGACCACCCTAATACATATATATATATATATATATATATATATATAGTCAATCTTTGACTAATTTTTTTTGCAATTTTTTCTTTATAATTAAGGGGATTTTTGCTCGAACCACTGCTTTGAAACTATGATGATAGCGCAAATGCATTCTTTTTACGTTGAAAATATGGAAAACGCCTCTAACCGTGATATATCGCTCGAAACCATGTTGTAGTCACTTTAAAATATCAACGAAATAGGCTGTGGTTATACCGATTGCGTTATGTAAATAATTTCGAAAATTGTAAATTAAACTAAAAGTCACTTGGTTATTTGTAATAAGTTTTGTAATGTGCTCTTTCATTCAAAATTTAAATAATTTTATTTTATTTATATACAAATAAAAATCATTTCAATATAGTATTGAACTGTTGATTGATTCTATTAGGTTTTATTCTATTCTGGTACAGTACGGATCAGACCAGGGTGTGGTTGGCATGGCGTGTTTTCCATACCAAAAACGTACGTCATTATTAGCAAAGAGCCCTAAAAATAGTTATTGCTGTCAGTAAGGTAACAATTCTCAATGAGCTTTTTGTTGCAATTATATTGTACTTTGGTACCTCTTTTTTTTATGTACATCTGGCAAAAAAAAGCTTAGCTTTAATATTGTTAGTAAATAAAATTTTTTAGTAAGCCTTGAGTTGATTGTATACCTTCGGTGCGTCAATATGTATACGTATGCTTATGTGGTAGAAATTTATCAAACTTTAATAATATAATTTTTGTGATCCTTGCATTTGAGATGAAAATTATTACGTTACTCTGTTCCTTTGGTATGTTACATTTGTAATGTTACATTTTCGCTAGTGATCTGTTCCTGTCTTTATACGCATAAAATCCGTACTACGAGAGACATAGGAAAATTGCACGAACTATGGCGCAGTATGTAATCACGCAGTAGTAAAGTTTATGAGGCGTGATATATAAAACCGGTGACCTGATCAGAAAACCGCACGGAGAACACCGCGTGCGTCCGATAACGAACGCCCGCCGCAGACTGTTATGTAAAACATGTGAAGCGTTGGATTATTGCACCTAGGTAGAAAAGCCAATGTGCCCGAATTAATACATTTTAAAAGGTAGACCGAAGGATTTTCTGAAACACAAACGAGTCATGATTTGACACATCAAAAAAAAAAAAAAAAAACTCTAGTGTGCACGGCAATCGTGCCTTGCACTAATATCGATTCAAAAACTAAATAATTGCTATTTAACCTATTCTCCATGAAAAGAAAACCACATAAATTAAATTTGTGAAATTCTATGTGTAAACAAATTGCTCACAGAGAATATTTTTCAATACTTACTTTTAATATATGAAAATATTGAAATCTTAAGTTTTTCATACATTGAAATATATTAGTTTTTATTCAGCGCGTTGGATTTTTTATTATGACTAATGAGTATACTTAATACAATAAAATATAAATAAATATAAATAAATTTTGGTTTTTAATAAATGTTTCCATACTTAATACAGATTTCTCGAGACGCGCTCTTGCAAGGCGACTTTATATGGGCGTTCTTGAACGCGTACTAGTTAAGTTTTTCCAACTTTTCTCCCAAGTTCCACTTAGATTTAAATGAATGTTTGAATAATAAAAGAAAAATATACAGGGTTTCGAATGATGCTAATATAAAAGTAGTCAAAAAGAGCCGCACTGGTAGAAAATGGAAAATGAAAAATCATTTTTACCTTTTCACGCACTAACAAATATTTTCTCACATTATTTGTTATGAACAACCATATGAAAAAGAATAAACAAATGATAGAAATAAAATCAGATATGATGAATAAAAAGTTTTTAATTTTAATTTCCAATATTTTTCTGCCAAAAAGTGAGTTTGAAAAAGGGGCCACTGTTTTTCACTGATATCTCGGCCAAATGATGGGCTACGGATTTGAAATTGGGTGTTTCGAATTTCTCGAAAATATCTATAGAATGGTATCAAAATCATTTAAATACCAGGGTGGAGCCAATTCTCTATGGAAACACGCCCAGACCCTTTTTGGAACTTCCCGCAATTTGAAGTTCTTAAAAGCTCAAAAAGAAGAGTTTGATTTTTCAAGAATTTGAATTACATTTCAGAATTTTTTTGAAAATTTGTAAATTTTGAATATCGAAAAAATTGCTTTTTCTGAAAATACTGAAATTTTTCTTTAATTTTCAAAATTTTTCTATTATTTTTTTATTTTCACTAATACACTATACTTGTATATTAAGGTTTTGAAATTTAAATAAGTCAATATATTGTGCTAATAAGTACGTATGTGCTAAGTAAGAGATATTGGCATATTGAAATAACCCTTCACAAATATAATAAGTAAATGTCTTTGGTTTACCAACCTTGCATCACCAAGAGCAATCCGCAATATAAATAAAGCGTCATCCTGACTGTTGATTGTACCATTCACTGTCGATGTTGCTTCACTCGATTAATTCAATTGATCTTCACGATAAATCTGCAAGTAAAATCAGTGTAATTAATAGATATATTAATTTTCCTCTATCAATATTAAATTATCCTTCATGATTATAAAATTATAACTAAAACGAAAAGTTCATATGGTTCATATATCCATAGTAACTTCTAATTTAGAACAAGGCGCAGTCAAAATCTCACAGTTTTACACATGTGATTTATATATATATATATATATATATATTATATATAAACTTTCTGAATAAAAAGCCCATATTCTAAACTAGAAAACGAATACATAACTCATGAATGTAATCATTTATAGCTCGACGTATTTTCAAATATTTTTAGTGAAAATTCAAAATGTACAATTTGATTTTTTATAAAGATACAATAGAAAAATTATTCATATTATACAGCATTATAAAATAAAATACTTTTAAAACGAATTTAGAATCTTGACAAAATGTACAAATAAAAGATTTATGATTATGGATTTCCCTTAAAATTTACATACAGCCATTTTGCTGAAAATTTCAAAGCTAAATATTGTACTCATATAAATAAACATTTTTCTTAGCAATGACAGTAATAAATTTTATACGTATATTTGCAAACAATTAAAAGTGTTGACAAACACAACCGATGTTCTTTATGCAATGCTTGTTAATTAATCAAAATTCCTCAATTATTTCAAAACAATAGTTAATTATGTGATTGTGTCAGCTACGCATTTCCATAAGCTTTGATGTTGTTAATTATTGTGAAATATACATATGAAAAGTAATATTTTTACAAGTAGTATTTCCAAAATCAAAAAGTTTTATTATTTATCCAAAATAAAAGTTTTATTGGGTTCGTTAACATATAATTTTAAACTTGGTAATGCAAAAAGAATTTTAGTGAAATTATATAATTTTATGTTAACTCTCAACTCTACTAAAATATCTTTTAAAATTGTATTCTTCAGTTTTCGTAGAAGCAATAAAAATGAAATATTGAGACAAAAAACAAAATTCAAGCATATATATCGTGCAGATTGTTGTCAAAAACTCGAACAATATTCTTTAAGTTATTTTTCATAACTTTTAAATGAAAATATTCATATTTATATATGAAAAATACCTGGCTGTTACGATACATTTTCAAATGTTTTTCAGTTTCAAACTTTGCAATTGAAAAGTTAGAAACTGAAATATTTTCATGCGCGGATGATAATCGTACTTATTGCAGAAAAACATAGTTTTATGGAATATGAATATATATATATATATATATATATATATATATATATATATTAGGGAGGTCCTTAGTATGGATATTTTAGAATTTATTCGCTCCCAGGGGCTCAAATGCTTTCAAATAAATAAAAAAAATCTCTAAAAGTTTACGGCTATTAAATATTAGTTTGAAGATAGTCCGCAATCCAACCAAAGTTTCTTGGTTTTTTTCCTAAGTAAATACTTATTTTAAAAAATATATCTAATTTTTGTCATAATTTGTTTACGTATATGATCAAAATAAGCAAATACAATGATACTCTCAAAATTTTGATTCATTTGTCGCTGAGTTATAAAATTCTAAAAACCAAATGGAATTTTTAATTTTGATTTTCATAAGTAACTTTGGTTGAAGTGCGGATTATCTTAAAGTTAATATTAGGAGCTAGATTTTTTTTTCATCAATTTGGAAGGATTTGAATCACTGGGAGCAAAGAAATTCGAAAACATCCATATAAGTTTCTAGCACAAGAAATACATCGATTATATAAATTGAAGGATAACTGATTTGTACATTAATACAGAAAGTCTTATTGTGATTATGCACAACAGCTTCTACATCTACAGTATGCCAGTATTGCGTATTATTCAGAAGATTTACTCTCGGCTAACAAAACGAAGACTTTCCATACTCCGGGCGTTGATGTGATTTTAATAACATAGGAAATAGCCAAGCAGTTTCCTTTCAAGATGACAACCTATACATTTTAATACTTATCATTTATACGAGTATTATCGACTCCCCTTCTGCAAAACTGCGTACTATTTATCACAATCGAATCAAAGGAGAGATGGCTGGTATGAGATACTATAATATATATTGTTACATTTAGAAAGCATCTTAGAAGATATAAGATAGTTTTATTTGCAGAATGCATTTTGAATGGGAAAAGTTATATTATGTAATGCCTATAAAGCACATCAGTAAGAAAATCAGTACTATTTGCTGTTACTTTTACATTTTCAGAACACAGACTTGCATGACATATTTTATAAGAGAAAGTCATATTTTTAACTTCCCGTAGGGATTGTAGAAAAATTGAAAATGAAAATTTTCATATATCTTTAAGTTCCAGAGGTTTCTGAACATTTTGGCATACCTTGGAAATAATGGATGTATGTGTGTGCGTATGTGCGGATACAATTTTTCGTTTTCGAATCAACCTATTTAGATGATTCTAATAACTTTCGATTTCTATTGATAAAGAGATGTGCTGATTAGTTTTTTGCATAAATATTAACATTTCAATCACGTCAATCTTGTTAAAAATCAAAGAATATAGTCCATGGTTCTTCACTCAATTTAAAAATGATGGATGTATGTGTGTGTGTAATAGATGTGTGTGTGTAAGTATATGTATGTGCGGATACAATACTTTGTCGACAATTTCGAGAGTGCGGATCAACCGATTTGAATGATTAAAAAAACATTCGATTTCTATTGATAATGAGACGTGCTGAATAGTTTTTGGTAAAAATGGTAACTGAATTTTTGAGAGAACAGAGAGTCTGATTTAGATGATTCAAAAAATATTTTTCTTGTACTGGCGCTCACGCCGCAATTTTCAAATACTTCAAAGTATAAAAAAATTAAATTTTTTCAAAAAGGTCCTTTTTTACGAGATTTTAAAACTCTTATAAATCTATTGTTTTCAAAGTTCTAAAAAAATTTGAATCTTTTTTAAAAAAAAATAATTTTTGGTGCAGGAAATTCGATACCCACTTTGAGCAGTCTATTGTCAGGCAGCAGTGATAAGGATTTTTACTTGGAAATATAGATAACAATATTTTTCCAAGTGAAAATAGCCCTCACCCGGTATTACTGCACCAATAAAAATATTTGTCCTATTACATAAACTGTAATTATAATATATCATACTGAGATGTGACAACTGTTTGGGTTGCCATCTGTCAAACAGACTAGTATTAAGATTCACTTGTCGCTAAGTTATAAAGTTCTAAAAAACAAATAGAATTTTAACCAAGTTATTTCCATAAGTAACTTTGATTGGAGTGCGGATTATCTTAAAGTTAATATTAAGAGATAAAACTTTCAGAGATTTTTTTTCATCAATTTGGAAGCATGTGAGCACTTGGGAGCAAAAAAATATCCATATAAGTTCCTAGCATTAGTAATAATTCAATTATATAAATTGCAGGAAAACTGAATACAGAAAGTCTTATTAAGTCAAAATCAGCACAACAGCTTATAGGACTATTATAAAAAAAATCTTTAATTAAATTTTCCTAATGTTCGACCTTAAACTTTGAATCTACAGTTTATAAAAATCGTTAGTAATAATATCAGTTGCTTCCATTAGAATATTTTTTAATTAATAAAAAATTGCGATAAAAAGCTTGGCTTACTGAATTGAAATCCACTGCAAAAGTTCATAAACAATTCTGCGACTGCCTGAATTTGGTCGTGTTTCCCAGACCCACACACCAAAAGCAGGCACTTACCAAATAGTTTCAATGTTGTTTAACATGCCCCCTATTTAGGCGCTAGGTTCTAGGCACTAGGTATCCCAATGCGAGATTTGATTGGAACTGATTGGAAATTCTTGTTTGCGTTACTCCGACTGTTTGTTAAAGACGTGTGTGCATTAAACGTAACACACCGGTGCAGCAGGGACATGGAGCAGAGGCTCGCAGCAATCACGTAACAGCAAACTTGCTTCAACTACCGCCAGCATCGAAATCAGTACAAATCAAATTCAATATTCTGTCAAACGCTGGATTTAGTATAAATACGCTACGAGCAATGTGTTGGTAGAGACTTCAAAGCTGACATTGTTTACAAGAGAATGACGTGGTTTATTTCTGATTGGATTTTAATACATCAAAACGAGGTCTATTTGTTAACATTTTTCAAGATTTTGATAAATTAAGCATAAACAAAATTTATGAAACAAATTTTCACTTTTTTTAATCTAACTAGACATAAAAATCATAACATAAAAAAACCAGACAAAATAAGATTGTAGTCAGAATGCAATAAAAACCCAAATATAATATGATAAGAATCTACTTACAATCCAAGAGGAATCTAATAACAATTTAACCAGAAGACTTTGGCTATAAATTGATAAGAATCCAGGTAGAATACAATAAGAATATGACACGAGTCTGGTATGAGTCCAATAATATTCTGGTCAATCTAATATCAAATCTAATATGAATCCAGCCAGGATACTAAAAAAGTTAGAATCCGACAATGGTCTCATAATAATCTAATAAAACTCCAGTAGAAATGTAATAACTAATTTGATTTGACATTCCGACTAGATTATCATCAAAATTAGATCAGATTCTTATAAGGTTTTGTCGAGAGTCTTAAAGTGATAAAATTCTGAGAAAAGACTATAAAGAATCCAGCCAGAACCTACTAAGACTCTGGCTAGAATCTTAGACTAAATCTAAGAAGCTAGTGCGAGCCTAATAATCAGAATCCGAAATAAATCTGGTAAGAATCTAATGAGAATCGCCTAGAACTTCTGTTGGAATTTTATAACGATTTAGTCAGGATGTAGTTGGAATGTGCTCAGTTTCAGGCTAAAACTTGAATAAAATCTAGTATCAAGTAACCATTTATTTAAAATCTACTAAAAAGTCAGCTATGAATGATATTCGTGTGAATATTGAATTTGAATTGTATTAAGAAGTTGTGAAAATGTTATTGCAATTAGGAGTCTCATAGGACAACCTAGTAAGATAAGACTAACATAATGTGATAAGACTAACATAAATCTATTAGCAG